TGTACTGGGTGGACTCGGGGCCTGAGACTGCATTTTATTCCTTCTCTTTGTCATTTTTGTATACCACTGTCTTCTGACCTTTGGTGTAGAGCTTAGACAGAGTTATTACCTTAGCACCAGGTCCGGATCTACGAAGTTCAGATTCTTCCAGGTGGGTGTTGTTTGGATCTGGCTGCCGTGCTCCACTTCTTTCTGCTGCAGGCGTTAGAATTGAACCCTTTGTGTCTCTCTGAGAAGATGTTCTGCTCCTGAATCAGCTGAGTTGGTCTTACCTCTAGCCTCTTTGCAGGGAGTTTTGCTGAAGGGTTCCATGCTGGGCCTGCAGTCTGGGTCGAATGAGGATCCGTGGGCCCAGGTCGTCTCACTCACTCGCCGGGTCTGAGCTCTGGGTCTGTTCAGGATCCCGCCAGGCCCAGGTCTTCTCACTCACTCACTGGCTGGGCCTGTACTCTGGGTCTATTCAGGATCCTGCGGCCCGATCCTCTCACCCACTCGCCAGGCCTGCGCTCTGGGTCTGTTCAGGATCCCAAGGCCCCAGGTCATCTCACTCACTCATCAGGCCTGCGCTCTGGGTCTGTTCAGGATCCCGCAGTCCTGGTCGTCTCACTCACTCGCTGGGCCTGCCCTCTGGATCTTTGCAGGATCCCACCAGGCCCTGGTCGTCTCGCTCACTCGCCGGGCCTGCATTCTGGGTCTGTTCAGGATCCCGCGGCCTGGGTCTTCTCCAAATTAATCTCTTGATCCTGAGTTTTTCTTAGCTATTCTTGTATGTGGAAGATGGGTATTTGGAATTTAACCCAGAGACACTTTACCACCATACTCCTACCAGCTCTTTTAATATTTTATCTTGAGATAGGGTCTCCCAAAATGGCCCAGAGTGGACTTGAACTTATGATCTTCCTGCTTCTGCCTCCCAAATAACTGGGACTATAGGTATATACCATCATGCCCTGTTGTTTAACTCCTAGTAAGGTCTCTGATTCAGTGTCTTCTTAAGCAATCATCAGGTTTAGGGGAATCCACAAGAAGTCTAACATTTGTGCTTCTAAAAATGTATGGTGTTTCTGAATTGAATAGTAATTTTCTGTGAATATTAAGTTAAGTTGTGGCTATATTATATCTAGGGAAAATTTGGTGGGGGATGGAATCTTTGTTATAAAGAAATCTCTGGTGAAATACTACATGAGTCATATAGGTACAGAATAAGAAAACCGGAGTGGAGTACTGAATCCTTCTAGCCCTGGTTACTCAACTCCTTGAGTAGTATAAAATATTTTTCTATTTTAGGGTTTTTTGGGTTTGGTTTGCTTTTGTTCACAGTGCAGAAGATTGAGCACAGAACCATACACATGCCAGGCAAGCACTCTATTACTTAGGCATATCCTCAGCCCTATATTTGTTTTGTTTTGGATTTTGGAGATAGAATCTTGGTCTATAATTTGGGCTGACCCTGAGCTCACTATGTAACCCAGGCTAGTCTTGAACGTACTTTTCTGCTTCAGCTTCCCCAGTGCTAGGATTAAGGAATTATGCTACCATGCTGGCAGCCGTGTATTAGGTGTTTTTTTCTTTTTCGTTTGTTTGTTTTTAAATACCAGAAATTGAACTCAGGATCTTGCGCTTGACAGGCAGACATTTTTGTTGCTGAGCTATATCCCTGGCCCCCTGTATTAGTTTTTAATATTGATTTTCTCCCGTGAATTAAATATAATTCAATCTGTCCTCTGTCCCATTATGTTATCTTGGCTGGCCAGATAGCTCAGCGGACTAAAGTGCCTGCTAGGCAGAGTGCATTGGCTGGGGTTCAATTCCTGGCATGCTGTGCTGGTCCCACCCCCAGGGCGCACTGAGACAGTGACTGAGACTGGGCATGGTGGTGTGTGCCTGTAATCCCAGCACTTGAGAGGCTGAAAACAGGAGAATCACTATGAGTCTGATCTACATAGTAAGACCCTATAGACCCTGTACTAAACATCAAAAAAAGCCAAAACTGCCATTGTAAGTTATCTCATTGCTGCACAATGTTCCTGGTCATTGTAATCTTTTCAAATATAGTATACTTGTTCTTCAAGAGATACAAATAGTTTTCTGGGCCATAAAGCCAATAAAAGATTCTGTGTAGATTTTATTTTGATTTTAAAGACAAAGCAACAAAAAACAAAATTCAACGACAGTATGATAAGAGGATAATGATGGTTAACACATGACATATTGTTATCTTCAAATCAGTTACTCAGAGTACAAGATACCAGCATTTAAATGTTCAAAGTATTAGCACAAACCTATCCTTTCAAATCAGCTGCATAGGACTGGGG